CATCCATCCATCCATCCATCCATCCATCCATCCATCCATGCTCAGAGTTAATAAAGTTCAGCTGATTGAAGACTCGGTGCTGAGCCCTTCAGTCATCCTGACTCTTTATGAGTCACAGTTTATATAAACCTGTGTCAGCTCTGTCTGTGGTGTGTTTGATTTACATACCTGAGTGCACCACACAAACAGCAGCTGCCTCGTTTCAACACTCAGAGTCTCTGCTTCCAGAGAAAAGCAGAAGACAACACAGCAGAGCTCCTGTTTTAGAGTCAGGCTCTATCTGAGCACGTCTGCATCATTTGTGGTAACGTGGTAGCAGTTTGATCTGGATCTGGATCTGGCTGCCCCTCAGGTGAAGACGTCTGATGTATCATGGAGGACTCATCTCTTGTGGTTAAATGGAAACTTTCACTTCATTACCTGCGTGTTCATCTGCCGAGCACAGACTGAAGCAGCTGCTAACAGGAACACAGGCACGTGTTTCCAGCCGAGCCCTCCACATCCAGCTTTGCTGCAGAGAAACATGCCAGCGAATGATCAGGGGTCCTGTTTACCCCCCACCATGTTTCACTGTAGGGCTCTAGCCCTGCAGTTCCTCTGACGTCCAACAGAGGCAGCAGTGAGTCAGTCCCCATAGACTCCCATGTTAAAGCTTCACCAGAAATAAACAGATTGGTCTCTGTGGATCGTTTCTCCTTCATGACACCCGTACAGGGAGGATGTTTTTATAACTCACCTGTTTAAAGTTTGCATTATTAGGGGCGTGGCCTCTGGACGTGTTTGTGCTGCTGGAGCTCTTTGGGTTATATTTGATGTGCGCTCTCTGCTACATGTTTGTTTCATTGAAAAAATGTTTGTCAGTAAGTTTTTACTGTGACTGCGGTTCAGAGGGAACCTGATGGTTTCCGTCAGGTAGACGGCAGTGAGGTCACTGCTGAACAACAGGAATAAGTAGGAAACTGTGAATCTGCCATCCTTTGGTACTTCAGAGATTTTTTAAGTTTGCTTTGGTTTAAGCCAATAAAACGATCGTGTGCTGTTATGAAGTGTTAAACAGAGGAGCTTATTATCAGGAGCTCACATGTCCTCGGTTCCCATGACGCTCCTCAGGTGTAACCCTCGCTCTGTCCTGTTTCAGAGGCCGAAGCCAGAGTGACTGTGGGAGATCGTCCTCCCTGCTCGAGGCCGGAGCAGGGCCAGCTGTGGTTCAACGCTCAGGGGAAGGGTCTGTTCATCTGTGACGGGCTGACCTGGAGGACGCTGCTGCAGAGTGAGTCTGGACGTACACAGGAAGTACCTCTCACACCTCAGACATGTCAGGGTCATGTGA